CAGATCAGCACCATAATATACACATTAGTTGAAGAAATGGAATACCACTCAATCACAAAAGTTATGGAGAGGTGACTCGAGTCCAAAAAGGTTGAGAACCACTGGTGTAAATGAACGAGAGAGAAGCCTGAGGTTGAGCCCTAGCCCACTTAATTGGATGTGTCCCCGTCTCTCTCAACTTTGGTTAGTCTACGAAGTGAAACAGGCCATGCAGTGAAGCGGCTGCCTTGCCTGCAACAAGCAATCTCCCTCTGAAGCACAGAGCTTCCCATACATAATGGGAATAAATATAACTCCTGGCCCAGCTCCTGCTCAGCCCTCCAGGCCAGCATAGTGCAGTGGAACCGCAGGCATCCTGTGTTGCCCTATCTCTATGCTCCAGATGAAGTCTGCTTGACCACAGCAGAAGCGCCAGTGCAGTGGGATGGCAGGGGCCTCCATCCCAGTGCAACTGGAAACGTTTGAGGCAAGGTCCCTCCATGCAGCTTTACATGAAAGTCTTGCTCAGCTAAGTGTTCCCTGAGCAGCTCAAGCCAGTGGGCTGGGGCCTCACTGTCTTGTCATGAGGCTGAAATTAGTTCCTTGTTCCCGGTTCCTTTTTCAGAGCTAATCTAGACCCAATAAAAACTTGTTATTAATGAACTCCACATCCTAAAGAGAGAATTTCATTAGCTATGCATATGTACTAATTAATATATAAAATAATATCCCACATAAAGTACAGAGCCCTGAATGAAGGTCAGATTAGGATGGGATTATGGGGAAAAATACTTCTTGGGCCACCCCATATTTCATGGCGATGTCACTGGGGGACTGTCCCAAAGAATCCTGACCACAGTCCCACCCAGCCCAAAGCAGTTTGGCCGTGCCAGGCTGCCAACTAACAGCCCCCATGCCCACTATACTAAGTATAATGGCTTGAATAAGGAACTAGCTTTTGGGCTGGGATTATGGCTAGAAATTCTGCTTGGGCCACTCATCAGAATACATTTGTGCCACCAGGGGACTGTCCTGGACATCTGTGACCAGAGACTTGCCTAGCCCAACGTGCAGTTTGGACATGCCAGGCTGCCAACAGACAGCACCCCAGCCACTGTGCTAAGTGTATGGGCCCGAATAAGGAACTGGAATTTGGGCTGGGATTATACCCAGAAATCCTTCTTGGGCTACCCCAGACCACACCTCTGTGGCACTGGGGGACTGTCCTGGACATCTCTGACCAGAGACTTGCCCAGCCCAAAGCACAGTTTGGCCAGCCCAGGCTGACAACAACCACCACCCAAGACACTGTGCTAAGTATGTGGACCTGAATAAGGAACTGGATTTTGGGCTGGGATTATAGCTAGAAATCCTTGTTGGGCCACCCCAGACAGTGGCCCATCTCCCCTCCTCCCTCCCACCACTTCAGTGTGGTCCCATTCCCACCCCTCCCCACCGTTTCAGGTCCAGCCTCACTCCCCTCCTTCCCCCCACAGCTGTTTTGGGTCCACCTGGCCTGTGTCTGCCTGCCTCCCTGCCCTCTGTCACCCCGTCCCTGTCAGTTGTCTGGGGAGCATCCAGGACAGGCAGCCACCGTGATACCCCACTGGCCCTCAGGCAGGGGGCAGCCCGGCTGCTCGGATGGCTGAGGCATGTACCCCAATGCCAAAATTCCCCAGCAGTGGTGCAAACTTGGGCCCACGCAGCATGTGCTGCCCAGCCGATTGCCGCCCGCCCTCTTGGGGGCACATGCGCAGCTGGCTAGAAGCATTACGGAGAGACATACAGACAGACACGCAGACAGCCAGACTGAGCCTTTTGTTATGTTAATGGATATGGGGGCTGCAGTTAGCAGCATGGCATGAAGAAATTTGGGGTTTCTTTGTTGTTCTCCCGCCCTGGCGGGGGGTCGGGCTAGAAGATCTACTAGGTCCCTTCCGACCCTAAATCTATGAATCTATGAAATCACGCTCTAGGCCAGGCAAGACTGGTCAGGGATGTCCAGGGGAGTCCACCAGTGCCACAGTCATAGTGTGGGGTGGCCAGAAGGATTTCCATTTCTAGTCTCAGACTAGAAAGAGTGCCCTATTCAAGCCATTGTCCATAGTACGGTTGCTGCAGGGGGTGGGTGTGCTCTGAGTTGACAATGTGGCAGAGCCAAACCATGCCAGGAGCCAGAGTCATGGTGTGGGGTGGCCCAAGAAGCATTTCCATCTCTAATCCCAGCCCACAAACCAGTTCCTAATTCAAGACCATATACTTAGCAGTGGCTGGGGTGCTGTCAACTGAGAGCCTGGCACGGCCAAAAAGCGGTTTGCGTCAGGCAAATCTCTGGTCAGAGATGTCCAGGAGCATCCCCTGGTGGCACAGAGATGTGTTCTGGGGTGGCCCAAGGATTTCAGACTTGGGCTCCCCACCCTGTTGCCCTCCCCCTGGTGCCTCTGTGGCTCAGCAGGTGGGACCCAGCGTGGCAGGGCCAGATGGAAGCAAGGTGCCACTGCCATGAGCCTGACACTGCGATTGAGATAAGGCACTGCCTGCGCACCTGGCAGCAGCAGGGGGCACAACTCTGCACCACCACTCCCGCTGCTGCTGGGTAGGCAAGGGGTGCCCCACCATGGCAGCGCAGGGCTTGTGGCAATACCAAACTGCCCTGCCCAGCCCTATTCTACCCTGTGCTGGGTCCTGCCCGCTGGGGTGTGGAGGCCCTAGGGGAAGAGCAAGGAGCCCCAAGCCTGCACCTCCTCCACTGATGGGCTCCACTTCGGCTGTGCTGCCCATGGGGGAGGGAGAGCCAGACTGTGCCCTTTGCTCCCCACTAGGGCTGCAGCAGTCACTGCCTCCTGCTGGTGGCAGCCAGGGTTGGGGTGCTGCTGTGCGGAGCAGGGGGCTGCAGACCTGGGTCCCTGGCTCTGTAGCCCTGTAGCTCTCCAGCAGGGCCTGGGGGCTGTGGGTAGAGTGTGAGGGGCACCAGCAGGGCTGTGGCTTGGAAGTGAGGGGCAATGGCAGGGGTAGGGGACAGGCACATCAGGACTGTTCAGCACCACAAAGCAGTGATGGAGGACAGTCACAACTGGACTCATGTCCTGGTGAGCGAAGGGGGTGGGGGGAGCTCCAATTTCCCATAGTAAAAAACACAAAATCAAACACCAAAATTAAGAGGTATTTAGAATTTATTTTACTGTAGTGATTGAGGCACTGGTAGGCCTCCAAATTACTTGAGAAAACCAGGATCCCCAAACATCACACAGCAATCCACAAGGGCTAGGCAGTGATGAGCTGAAAGGCAGACCTGAGGCATTAAGGACCTTAACAGTGAAGCTGAGCAACACGTGTGGTGCAGAAGGAGCAGAGCCCAGGCAGCTGCTTACAGAGCCAAATATGCTACCCGATGAGGAGCAAAGCCGGCCCCCACCCCTATAAAGGAGAAGCCACTTCTTCCCCTCCTTTTCTACCTCCTACAGTGGGGAGACAAGCCAGAGCAGCCTGCCTGACCAGCTCAGGTTGAGCAGCGCGTGGGGTGGTGCTGGCGCTGTAAGCATAAACGACCACGTTTGGCATCCGCACGACAGGGAGAAAACAATGTGCAACATAAGCCAGGCATTGAAACGCTGCCTCCGGAGCATCACAGCCTATGTACAGCCAGCCTTGTGTCATGGAGAGGACCTGTGCCAGCTACGGTGATGCAACGCAGCAGCACATCATAAAAGACAAACAAGAGGGCTTGTTTTCATTTGCTAGGGGCACGTGTGGCTTTGCATATCAACCACGGCTGTCAGTCACGGGGAGAGGAAGGAGATGCCAGTCCTCGACAGCACAACTAATGAGCCAACTACTAAGAGCTGCTTTCACAGCTGACGGGCACAAACTGCCCTGGGCATTTGCAAGCAGCCAGTGACATCAACTTAGCTGGTCTCTAGCAGCACTGGCTATTATACCCTACTCCTCTCTGACCCAAGGAAGGGGAGAAGGTGGGAGAAAGGGACACAGATAAGGAAAGGGATCCTGAAGGAGCACAGCCACATCAAATCCCTGTAGTAATTTCGATGGCGACCAGCACCACCTTGTGAATACTGAGGGGATCAAACAGGACACGCATGAAGCACTTAGTTTGAGATGCACTGAATCCAGCCTCAAGTCGCTGGGGTATAGGACTGCTAAAAACAGTCCCCAGGCATGCTCCCTTGAGAATACCACCCAGAGAGCCATTTTATTCATCCCTGGAAAGATTAAACTCCTCTCCACGGAGTCATGAGCCTTAGGGAGTCATGAGCAGGAATCCGGGTTTTTCTACTTGTGATGGAAAGAAAGCAGTAAAAACCAGATTTTCTCCTTTAAAAAGAGAAAAATGCAGGTTACAGTGGGTTTCCCCTATCAGACTAGCAGAGTTCCAGCCTGCAAGGGGCTGGGGCGAGTGGGTGAAGGTGGTCAGGCAGGGGATGCCATGTGCATGCGTGCACATACACATGTGCATGGCTGCCAGGCAGCCTGGAGAGCAGCTCCATGCAAATAAGTCAAGGGGGGAGGGGGGAATTGAGGCCCTCAGTGAGGGAGGGAGGGAGGGAGCTGAGCAGGGCTGGGGTTGCTGCCCAGACCAGGTGGTGCATAAGGCTTGGGGCCCAAAGCCACATGCAGCCACAGGGCCTGGGTGAGTAGTGAGATAGAGCTGTGGGTGACTTGTCTGGTGGTGGGGCAGGGCTAGCTGGCTGCCTGCTGCTGTGCACACTCTGAGGGACAGGCAGGTGGGGCATATGCCCCCCCAATTTGTGCACAGGGCAGGTGCACGTGGGCTTCCCACCCTGCTGCCTTCTCCGTGGGGCCTCCCTGGCTCAGCTGACAGGACCTGGCCCAGCAGGGCAGAGCAGGGAAGCTTGGTGCTGCTGCCGAGAGCCCCACATTGCCATAGTGAGGCATCCCCTGCCCACCTGGCAGCAGTAGGGGGCACAACCCTGCACTGCCACCCCTACTGCTGCCAGGCCAGCAGGGGGCACCTTGCCATGGCAGCATGGGGCTCGCAGCAGCAGCCCCACCTTGCCCTCCTGCGCTGGGTCCCGCCTACTGGGCAGCAGGGCAGACAGCCCCAAGCCCACAGCAGGCAGCCACCCCCACCATGGACTCTGTTCCAACCATGCCACCTGTGGGGGACGGGGAGTTGGGCTGCACACTCAGCTCCCCACTAGGGCAGCAGCTGATGTTCTGGCACTGCCATTGGGGCAGGGGGCTGCAGACCTGGGTCCTGGGCCCTCTAGCCCTAGCAGCCAGGGGCTATGGGTGGGGAGCAAAGGGCACCAGCACGACCCAGGGAGCTGTGGCTGAGGGGTGAGGGGCATTGACAGAGCACCGGCCCATTAGGGCTGCTCAGAGCCAAAAAGCAGTGCAGTGGGGAGCAGCTGCAGATGCACCCATGTCCTGGTGAGCAAAGGGGGCAGGAGGACCTCTGATTTTCCATTGTAAGAAAACCCAAAATCAAACACCAACATTTAAATTGGGAGGGAGGGGGAGGAGGAAAATGTAGTGGCATTTCATTTTAATTGTGGATTTTTGGGTTCTTTAATCAGAGAATTTACTATTTTTAAACAGAGAAAACCCTGGTCATGAGTAGTGCAGAAATGGGGCTGGCAGAGGGACTGCAGCAAGGCAGCCCAGCTCCAGGGTGTTTTCCCAAGCAGACGCAACTCTACAGTGCCCATGACACAGGAAGGCAGCTACAAAAGCACCTGAAAGCAGGAAGCACAGGTAAGGCATGATGCACTTTTCCAACACGCATGCTGCAACTACCCTGGACACAGTCCTGCTTTCCAGGGGCAGCTCTTTGGAACAGCCCAGGCAATGACACTTCCTGGCCTTTTGCTCGTGGTAGAGCCCAGAAACAATATAGGAGCACTGGGGCCAGGCACCCAAGCCATGAGCAGTGAATGGTTCACAACCATGTTCTGTGGGGCCAGCTTTCCTACCTTAAAGAGAGTGCCCCGTCCACTGACGAAGGCGGCACCTTTACCACTGCAAATCACGATCTTGTCCGTCACGGGATGCAGCACTTTACTGCAGTGCGGTCTCTTGGGGGCCCCCTTGGAACAGTTCCATTTGAGGGTGGAGGAATTCACTCCAACCTGCCAGGCTTCAGATGCTGGAAATGGGAGTCTTTAACACTACCTCTGAACACCCCGCTCCACGTGCTCATACATGGCAAGTAGCCTGCAGTCCCCCTCCCCCCACCCCCCACAACAGCCTATGCATGGGAGTTCCAAGCACAAAGAGCAGCAAGTCCATCCAACTCCTGCTCCCTGAAATAACCAAATGGAAACATGTACTTTTCTTGGAAATGCATTTTACATTATGCTAGCCACCATGAGAAGACAGGCTAGCGCCCTTTGTGGAAATTCTGGCCTTGCTGAGTTGCAGATGCAGACCACCCACAGCATCAGTGTTACTTCCCAAACCATGCAGAAAAACAGGAAGAGATGAAGGGCTATGAGAACAGTGAGACCATGGTCCATTCATGCAAGCTGACATGGGAGCGCACAGATTAGAGCCAGAAAAAGCTATCTTGAGAAGCACCTGCCTTCTGGCCATTCATCACTAGTGTTATTCTCTGTAGTGACAGCCACACTATGGGCTTGTCTACACAGGAACACTCAGGACTGAATCCAGGTTTACACTGAGTGTAAATTTAAAGTGGGTAAATTAAGCTGCATTAAGACCCTCTTTTGTAGAAAAAGTGGTCTTAATTTAACTTGGCTTAATTAACTTCAACATAAAAGTGGTCTTCATTAAGCAAAATCAAATTAATTCTGAATAAGAGGCACATGGGTTTAAATTAATCCACTTTACAAATTAATTTGGATTAACTTTCAATTGCCCACACAAAACCCCCCCTGTTTTCTGTGTTTATTTCCATCCATGAACAGTTCAGCAGTCCTGGACTTCCTACGTGCTGACCTTTTTACATGTGAAAAACCCCTCCCCATTCTCTCACCTTTCACCTCAAAGTAGTAAAGTGACTGAAAGCTTTCAAAGAGTTGTGGAGCAATTTTTGAAATTACCTCCTGAAAAGAATGAGCGAAGTGCAGCAGACAGGATCCAGGAGGGGAGGGGAGGAGAGGAGCAACAGAGCTGAGGTAAGTGACTGACATCTTAAAAGCACAATTACTAAATACCAAGATGATCAGAAGTCACATCCTTGCAAGGTTTGCACAGCTGAGCTGCAAGGACCTGATCACCTCCTCACCGAAGACAGAAAAACTGCCCCTGCCTGTTCCCACTCTTATCTCAACCATCTGTCCTGCTGCCTTCTGGAAGCTGATGTACACTGTCAGGCTATGTCCTATGTCAGGGAAGCAAGCTGAAATGTCTTGGGACAGAACACTTCTCTTCAGACAAGTTGTAGGCACACTCAGTTGGGCAACATGATTTTTATTTTTTTAATTAACAGGATTCTTCCTCTAATCCTCTGTTATAATCATCTAAAGTCCTTGGAAAGAAGCCTTAATGAGCAACTGGAAAGGCAGCCCAAGGAAAGCAACAGCTTTGGCTAATGAACAATCATCTCTACCCAGTAGCAGCAAACACAGCAAAATGCCCAGGGCTGTATAAACTAGTAGTGAAGGTCTGAAAAAGAAAAGCCTGTGCCTCCATGCCACATAGGAAGCAGGTGACAGAATTTAGTTTAACACAGGGGTGGACAAAATGCAGCCTGTGGGCCAGATGTGGCCCACCAAGCCATTCTATCTGGCCTGTGGGCCCCCCCCAGGTTTAGAAAAATAATATTTATCTGCCCCTGGCTGCCTGTCATGTGGTCCTCGATGGCTTGCCAAAACTCAGTAAGTGGCCCTCCGCCCAAAATAATTGCCCACCTCTGGTTTAACGTGTCTTACCCCTTAGGGAGCTGCTGTGGTCACTGCGAGAGCCTTGCACCTGCCAGGGGAACGGTGACTCAACATGCTTCCTCTGAAGCCTGACTTAGACAAGAGTTTTCTGTTAGACTTGGGCAGTGTGAAACTGGAGACATTTCACTGTTGCAGAAAACAAAACCCAGGCATGTTCCCCTAACCAAAGGGCTCTTCAGAGTAATGTCCATCTTTTCAAGCTGCATTCAGCCACAGAATTGAACCAGACTTCTGATGTCCATTTGAGCACAGCCAGCAGGAAGGCTGGAAGAGTCGTGCAGATAGACAGGACATCCACTGCACTAAGCTTCAACCTAGAAGGTTCTCTTTTCCCGACAACAGAGAAATGCAGCCCTTTAACTTGCAGTGTCTGACACATAACAAAGTCTGCCATTTCACAGCAGCTGGAAACTGGCTCAAGCTTTCCATTAGCTTCCAGCATCTAATGGCTGTAATTTAAACCACATTGCCTTGACACAGCTTGAGACCAGAAGGGGAAATTTTCTAAAGAAGATCCTAGTAGGTAGGGGCTGTTCTTTCCCTGAAGCCAATCACACTAGGAAACAGGTGCTGCTAACAGCCTGAAGAAAGCAGTATCTTTAAGGAATGAGCAATTTGGACTTGCTGTCCTTCAGCCCAACTTCTACATGCACAGCACAAACATTAATAGCAAGGCAGGAAGTGTGCTAGTGTTACAGTCTTGGAACAGCTTTGGTCTCCACCTGCTGCAAAGTGGCAGCCAAAACCCTGGGAGGCCACAGCTCAGACCTGTCTAGATATTGCAGTAGAGTTCTGCAAATGTAATACCAACAAACTTGAATGGAGTGGAAAAACTCCCCCTCCCCAGGCAATACACATGCAAAGGGAGGCCAAAAGCCACTTTCATAGAGTGACTGTTAATATACACCACAATAGAAAATAATTTTACTGGCAAAGCAGTAAGTAGTGGAGCACAGGTTATTACACCATCCAAGGTTATTACTATTAAGAAAACATTGGCTGGATGGCGTAAAGTCTCTGTCCAGCTCTGTCACAATAAGCAGTCAAACCAGCTGTAAACCAGAGCATGAAGAATGCTTAAATGCAACCCAAATTCCCTCCCACCAAACCAACCTGCTGTCTCCTGCAATGCCATTGTGCTAGTTATTCATTTATCCATAAAGTCCCACAATCAGCAAGAAATTAATTTCCATCACAGAAAACTACTATTAAATCCAAACTTTCAGGTCAGAAAAGGCAGAAGGCCACTTTTCTTAAAATCAACTTTAACCAACGTAGAGCGTGCAAGATAATTTGGAGGGCAACACATCAGCTGAAATATGTCTCTGTAAGCTATGTTCCTGTTTAATGAGGTATCATGCTGGCAAAGTCACAGCCTTTCTGAGCGACAGAGAAAGTCTGGGACAATCCTAGACAACTTAGATACAAACCAAGTTAAGGACAAGCAGCTCCCAAACCCAAGCGAGAAAAATCAGCTGGCTGAGGAGCCATGAGAAGATGAAACACTACATCTTGTAAGTCACTTGTTCCAACTACCCAGGGGCCAGGGCAGGCAAAAGCTGTTCCTATCTCACAGCTATTAGTGATCAATGGGCACGTCTACACAAGATGCCTTAATATGCAGTGGGCTGTTCTACTGCATGTTAGTGCATCATGACAAAACCCTGCTAATGTGCTGGTGCGTAGTAGAATGAGTCTAGCGCGCATTAAACATCACAAGAAAAGTTTGCCTTTGCTACTGCACAGTAGTGCAGCTACTTCACCTTTATCTAGTACCTCATATTAGAGGTACTAAACTTAATGCGCAGTAGCAAAGGCATATTAATGTGTACACGTGCTCAATGAGAAACATGTTTGACAACTCTAGTACAAAAAACACGTTTTCACAACCTGATGACATCTTGCTGTACTTGTTCTGAAAACGTTTCAGCACCAGAATTGGCACAGCCAGAAAACAGAACCCATGTCTGTGCATTTCCTATTTTCTGGGCCAGTAAGCTTGTGCAGCCCAAGACAGTGTTCATTTTAGGAAAACAGTGGCATTGTGCCATGCACCCAAGGTTAACTTCACCAGTTTCAAGTGTTGTTTTGTTTGTACTTTTGGGAAGAACTACACGTCTTTTCCACAAATCATTGGTTTATTAGAAAGTTTCTTTTCCCTCATTTTACAGCATATATATATCTTATGTGACAAAGTTAAATACAGTCCATTTATGCCTATTAAGTAAATGATAGGTTAAGTATTTTTAGCACTATTCTGGAAGTCAACCCCCCTCCCCCCCGACTGCAGTGTGAAGGGTGCCAGAAAACGCATACTGAGTCTAGAAGCTAATGAAGTTCAGCATTGAAACATTAATACTGTATTCTGTTAAATATTTACATTAATTAAAAAAATTGAGTCCCTTTATCTGACCATGAGATTTCAGTGCTATTTGTTCAAAATGCAAGTTTCTCTCTTTAACTAGTGAGGAAGCTCAGGGATTTAAATCGTTTGACTTTTGCACCCCAGATTTCTCAGTTCAGCACTCTGGGGAGAGTAGGGAGAAAATGGAAGAATGGGAATGCTAACTGCTGCTGAAGCAATGTGCAAACTGTATCGTCTTGTCCTAGCACTGCCTGCCTTGCTCAGGGTCTGACAGCACAGAATGAATCTGCCACTGGTTTGAACCTAGGTGATAAAGAGTGATACAAAAGGCTGTTACCAATTCTGCTAGGAAATAGGACTCCCTGGACAAAACGTATCTGAAAGCTGCATTAAAGCAGGGAGATTCTGCACTTTAAATCCTCCAAATAAAGTAGGACTGAATCTCCTGATTTAGTGTTGATGCAATTGGAACACCTAATGCTTTAGGGACAACTTCCATGGCTAATGATAACCAAAAGTGAAGAGACTGATGCAAAAATGAATGAAGAAATCTATTAAAAAGATCAGACAGGAGTTGTCAAATGAGTGACCAATCAGAGCACTTTTACCTACGAAAAAAGGCATTTCTTTAGAGGTAAAAGGTTCCTTTATCATTTAAATAGAATAGTGGAACTGTCTGAAACAGCTGAGGCAGTGGTTAAAACCCCAGAAAAAGCATGGGTAATTATGCTCTATAGGACTTAACCCAGTTTCCTGACACTTCTGAATCTGCCTCCAGTGTCAATTCCTATGAAGCTGGCTGCTTAGCTAAAGACCAGAAGCATGCAACAGGCCTATGTTGTTGGTTCCATTTGTATAGCATTTTACAAATCCTTCAGTCATCACTTTTCAATGTGATGCAATTCATTAGCTGTTAGAGTCATCGGTGTCTTCAATGCACCTTATTTATTCCAATTCTCACATTTTTCTTCTGCAAAATGCTAAATGAAGATTTTTTTTTACATTTTATAGTACATAAAAACTTCAAAAATACATGAGCTTGATAAAATATACATGCTTAGTCATTTTGCATCTAGCTGAAACTATAAAGTTTAACCTTTACAAGTGTCTTATTTCAACTACAGCAAACATATTTACACAAAAGCCACCAGAACAAGTACCACTAAAAGAACTGGCTGTAAAAAATATTATTGCAGTATACTACAAATGTAACCTTTTTATGAGCTACAAAAAGCAGCATTTATGTTTACAGAGTTCAGTGCAATTCTTTACATTAAAAAAAAATCCTATAAATTAATAAGGAAACCATCAATATTACAGAGGAAAGAATACACTTTACACATTCTGGTTACTCTCTCCAGATTGTTATTGGGTTCCAGTCCTCTGTATTGCTTCTATTCATAAGGGGCTTTTACTTTTTGTTCTCATTCAAATGCTTCTTTTACAGTATTTCAGGACACAGGAGGATGAACGATCTCCCTCAGCAGACTGACCAAAGCCTTGTCCGAAATCACAAACTAGCAATCTGAGCACGCCTCTCTGTTCCATAACAGACAAAAGGTGTCAACGTGCAGGCCTCACATAAGAGAAGAATGTTAATGTAGGATGGAGAAGAGTAAAAAGCTTTGAACCTTTTTAGCTCTTTTGTTCAGTGAAGCTTTAAAATTAAACCCTATTTCCACCTTCACTGCTTGCGTAAAGTACTTGGATAGGTGATGGCAGGCACCAAGTGCCCGCAAACCAGTCTCTGCCCCAGGCCAACCAAGAGTGGCAGTACCCTTCCATCAAATCCCCATGGCAGGATGCTCAGATGTCAGCTACCAAATATTTTACACATGCTGCATCACCGATTACAACCAGGATTCAATCATGTATGCTGTTTTAATTAGATGACCTCGTTACAAGGATTAGAGAGAGCCAGCCAGAGTATGAAACACTGTTTGTAATTTACAGAAGGGCAGAAAAAGATTATTTAATATTGGGAGGAGGAAAGAGGGGGGAAGCCTTTCAAAGCGTGTCTCTGTCTGAATTTGAGATGATTCCTCTAGGATACAGTGGTGCTACATAAAGGGAGGAGTTGGGAACGTGAGAAAGTCCCTGATAATAAACAAATGCACACAACACTCACAAGATTTAACAGCTGCACCACTCAGATGGTCTGCAAGCCACATCCCATTTCTTTGGCTGTTACGAGCGAAAGGAAATTCTCAGATCTCACCTGCCAGCCGGATCATTTTCAGCCCCTTTCCAAGACGCATGTTTTCTCCTTTCTCTGAGGTCACTTCCCTTTTCCTTCATGTGCCATGACTAGGTGGGTGCTGTAAGTCCTGACCTGAGAAAATGGGGTGCAACAATGGATGAAGATGCAATGCTGTGGCAGCTGCTGCAGCAGCAGGTCGAGGGGCAAGAAGTGTTGGATAAAGAGCCGCATGTGGAACAGGATGAAAGGTGAAGGGACCTGGGTGTATAGCTGATGCAGGAATGATATGGATGGGGTGGCTGGCTAAAAATGTAGCAGGGTGCCCTGGAATAATAGAGTGGGTCAAATGGGACAATGAAATGGGAGTTAAGTGTGGTTGGGGTATGTGATGAACCTGAGCAAGAGGCTGAGGATGAGGGTGTGGGTGAATCCCTATAGCTGCAGCAGCGGCAGCAGCATGGTGCTGCAGAATGGCATGCTGCACAGTGGTGATTGATGTTGCAGATGCAGCTGCTGGCTGCTGAATGTGTATAGGTTGTAGAGCAGGTGCAGCTGGTGCCAGCGCTGCAGAAGCAGGGAAAGCTTTGACCTGCTTTGCTAGAAGCTGCTGCTGAATGTGCTGTTGAGCTGCTTGCTGAAGCTTACTGTACTTCTCCATTTCTTCGGGTGTGAAAGTGATTGGTTGGCTCTCAAGTGGTGCAAGAGAGGAATCTTCTGCTCCTTCTGGATCTCCTTCAATACTTGGTTCCCCACTTTGAGGTACATAACCAGGAAAGTGTTCAACATCTGGAACTAAAGGCATGATGCTAGTTTCTACAGGGACAGGCTGGTTCCCACCATCCATAGGTTCTAAAGCTTCACTATCATTTGGATCAGAGAGAAAGTTGTGTGGCATTACCAGATCTCCTGAATTATAACATTCAGGAAGTGCCTGTGCTTCAAGAGAAACTGCTGGCATTTCTGCAGCAGGCTCTTCATGCTTCTGTTCTTCTAGAGGTTTGTCTTGCATTACTATCACCACCTCCTCCAGCAGAGGCTGACCAGCCAACTGAGTTTCCCCACTTCCTGGGGAAGCCTCCTCAGGTTCTGACAGCTCCTGTTCCTCACCCCTTTCTATCCCAGACTCTTCGTATCTTTTTGTATTTGGTTTTCGGACTGTAGGTAGCTTCCCAATTAAAGGGAGAACCGGTTTGTTACCTAATGAAGGAGGAAGCTTAGGGCCAAAGTATCCCTGTGGAGGATCTTTAAGTTTTATCCCAAGCTTGTTTGCCCCGGCTAACATTTCATCAGTAGTACAGGGCTTCTTTTCAAACTTCCTGGACTGAATCTTTTCAAGCAGAAGTTTTGCCGTGACAGAGTTTCTCTCTTCTGGACTGCAATCAATTTCAGAAGCTTTTCCTAGACTAGAAGTGCTGCTGTTCTGAGAAAGCAAGCCAGATGTCTTCGCTTCATCTCCCTTGCTCTCTTCTTTTTTCAAAGACCCTTCACTTCGGCCAGCTCTGAAATAGTGAGGGGACTGCGAGCGGTAGATTTTAGATCTGATGAAGTCTCTTCGCCCTGACCTCCTCTCTTCGGGGCTCTCATGGCCACGAGATCCTTTTCTTGAAAGAGACCTCTGTGAATGGCTTCTTGTGCTGCGGCTGCGATCCCGACTGTAGCTACGACTCCGTTTCCAACTGCGGCCAGTCACGCTTCGACTTCTTCTCTTGCTTCGACTGCGACTGCAACTGCTGCTCCGTGTTCTGCCCCGACTTCTTGTCCTTGACCTCCCCCTAACATGGGTATGACTCCTGCTTCGACTTCTAGACCTGCTTCTGCTAAGGCTGTAGTCATCCTCTGAAGAAGAATACTTGTGCCTTTTTGATCTGCGATTTGGGCTGTTGTAGTCAGAATCATCGTCAGAATGAGACCTCTTGGAATGACATCTTGATCTATCACTGTAATCACTATAGCTATCAGCAGAATAACTTCTCCTGCGACTGTATCTACTGTGGTCTGAAGAAGCAGAGGCATCAGAACTCGTTGAGTATGATCTTCTAGATGACCTTCGAGAAGAATGCCTTCGCCCTGACCTGGAACGGCTTCTGGAGTGGTCACTACCAGAGTCATAGTCATCACTGTATTGCGACAGAGATTTCTGTCGGAAGTGCTTCCGACGAGAACCTTCATCGCTGTCGTAGTCTCCACTACTTTGTCGGCTCCTGTGGCTGGACCTACTAACAGAAGGAGCAGAACAGCGCCTCCTTGACACGGAAGACAACTGTTGCAGGTCAGCCTTATGTTTTTTGCTGCTGTGCTCTTGGGAAGAGTTGCCACTGTCATCTTTTTTGCTACTGCTTCCCTCTTCAGCAGAGAGAGACTTTCTCTGAGTGTCCTGAAAACAGTGCTTTTTCTTCTGGAAATGGCTACAGTCTTCAGGCACTTCAGTTTTCAGCACTGTCTCAGATTCAGCGGAAAGAGATGATTTGCTTTTTTTGTGTTTGTGTTTTTTCCGTTTCTTGGGTTTCTCATCCCCCATGTCAATTTTTCGACTTTTGTCTTCAGCTTCTTCCTTGTGTTTACGTTTGTGCTTGCTAGATTTTTTGTGCTTCTTTTTCTTTTTATGTTTATGGGATTTCCCAGACTTGTCTTTTTTATTGGTTAAATTTTTGCTACTGTCACCAGCTCCTTCCAGTTTGCTGGCACTTGCCAAGTTGGAGTCATGCTTGTTCTGGGTGTTGCAAGTAGACACTGATTTAGTTTCCATTTTTACAACTGAGCTATTACCTGTGCAGCCTGTCTCCTTGCCTTTGATTATGTCACTGGATTCTGTGGACAGTACATTTTCCTTAGAAAGACCGACAGCGTCCTTAGATTTTTCTACTCCTTTAGCTTTAGCATCTTTGTTGCGTGACAACTTGAAATCAAAATACAAGGGATTACAACTGTATGAAACTGACGGCTCTGCCTTGGTAAATATCAGAAGTTCTGAAGGCCACTGGAGAGTAGTACTTTCATCTTTACTTAAAACTGGGAAAAAAGGTCCTGTTGGATGTTTTGGTCCATCACTCACTTCTTTACCACTTGGGGCAGGCTGAGTGGCTTTAGCAGCATCTGGTTCTGGTGGATCATTTTCTGTAGAACGTTTGCTTTCGACAACACTTGGATTTTCTGGAGTTTCTTTTGTTTCCATTTTGCCTTTCTGGTCTGTAAGTTCAATAGTACTTGGTTCCTTCTGCTGCACGGTGCTCTCAGCTGATTTTTCTGCATGCTTGCCAGCCTTGGGTTTTGGAGAATTACCCTTTTTAGTGTCATGTACGTTTTTTTTGTTCACATTTTCTGCTTCCATTTGTTCTGTGGATTTCATGAAAAGTAAGAATTGAAAGTTAGGTTTTACTTTACAATGGGCTGGCGGAATATAATGATAATATTCTGGCTCTACTGGTGCCGGTCCATCTTCTCGTCTCATCTTTTTTAATTTAGATAGTGTAGTGGCTAAAGACCCACCACTGTCTTTTTCATGCGAGTCATCTTCATCAGGTTTGCCATCTGGACTATTTGTGTTTTCATTCTCACCAGCCTTCTGCAGAGCTCCTTGATCAGAGGCTCTATCATCAGATTTTGTTCCATCTGTAGGACTAGATTCATCCACGTGGTCTTTGAAAACAGATGCTATAGACTCAAGTTTTACTGGAGCCTTCTTGGCAAACGAGAATGAAACTCCTATTTTTTGCAGTGGCGTTCCCGAATTATTCTTAAGGCCAAAACTGATTGCCTGTGTTGTCTGGATGGGCAACTGTCCAGGCATAAGGGTGCTGCTGACTTGTCCAATGTTAAGGATACCTCTGTCCATTATCATTTCTGTGGCCTGACTAGAAGTTGTTTGGATGGAAGAACTGCTGTTAGCTGCTGATTCATTCTCATCATCACCACCACCACCACCTTCTTCATCTACAGCCACAGTGGTTGTTTTGAACATGGGCCCACTTCCAGGAGCACTATGGAATTTTTTAAGAGGGAAAAGGCTGATTAGACAGATTGGCATAATGTTGTTCAAAACATGTTTCATACCCACTTCCAGTGCCCCCATAATTAATATTGTAAGTAGATACAAAATAAATTTTAAAAATGCTTTCATATCCTTCTCAAGGTAGTACTTTCCCAATACTGTCAAATGTCTTGCATTATTTAGTATTATATTAGGAGCTCTGGGGTAGAGTTAGTATGAAAGATTAATATAAATGCCTTACCCAATCAACTTGTGCAACTAATTTACTCATGTGAAGATTAAAGAAAAAGACTGAACAAAGGTGAAAGGCTGCATCACTTAATGCTAGGTTCAGAGGTATGTATAAGTGAGAAGTAACAGTATTTTTGTTACATTTATATCTCATATAAAACTTAGTTACACTCATTCTAGGCAGTTACAGATCTCCATACTCACCATTCAGACTGTCTTCTCTGTTCAGCCAATTCATGTAGACGCCGAAGGGCCTTCTCCTGCTTTTTCTCATCTTTACGTGATCTTGAAGAGACATTGCGAGCAAACTCCCTTTGCTTGAGATCCTTCAACCTCTGAGGTAAGAGACAATAAGAATGGATCAGATAAAAATGACAGTTAAATCAGCTCATTAAAGCCTCTCTCTCTGTTGTTGCATAGGCAAGTGTGTCATCACCCTAGCCTAGCACCAACCAGTAAAAATTTATTGAGTTCAGAGGGAGCAACAGTATCTTAGCTCAACAAACCAAATGGAAAAAGACTGCCATCCTCCTAGTCGCTACATGAAAAGACAACTGTTGATCACTTCTGGCTACTACTTCAAGTCTGTATCCGAATTTCCAACCAGTGTTTATTCACTTTCTTTAGCATATACAATAAAGCTGATTTCAAAGCAACAAGCAACTTCTGGAAGGAAAGAAAATGACCGTTTACTCTGCAGCTCTTGCAGGGTGCAAATGTACTTGACAAACAGCGCATGACAGAAGTCTTAATAGCATGGGCCAAAGAACAGAAAGGGATTAGCTAGTGCAGAAAAATTACCCAGGTACTATTATCTTGAAAAAGCAATGTACAAATTACATTGGGGAGGCACCAAAACTGAACACCTTATGAAAGCCATTCTGTTAAATCATACAAAACGGAGCATTCCTTTCCATAGTTAACAGTAACTCATTTTCCTGTTTGCAGTGTTAGGACAGTCTCTGGAGGGACTGCTAATTTTCAACAGAATAAAGTATGACCTTGACAGTTTTAGTATGTCTACTGGAAAGATGCTAAATTCTACAGAACCTTGTATTTTCAAGTTTGGGGTCAGATGGGAAATGGAATCAAGTAATTTTCATAATGAAGGATGAGATAAAGATCCCCTGGAGAATTTGGACATTGCTTCCCATTACTTCTAATACGCACTGGGCACCTGAATTCCTTGGATGGCTTTGAAAGTTCCCAGTCTTCAAACTCTAGGAAAAAATGGGATTGTTTACATGGATCAGCATAGATAAATTCACCTTAAGAGTGCTGCCCTGATGCTTGATTAGCAGAGAAAACCTCATATGATAGCCAAGATTAACTATTAAAAGGCACTAGTAACTGTGGATGCCTTCATTTTTCTCCTGACTAGCCTGAAAAAGAGCCTGATCTTTTAGAAAATTCTAGTCACCTACTCTCTGAAAAAAAAAAGTCAGACCCCCTTTAAAGATGTCTCAAACTGATAGTTTAGGTATAACTTGGGTTATCAAATTCTTGCTCTTTCCTGGAACAAAACTGTGGGTAAATATTATTGATATGCTGGATCTAAAAATTTAACCAAAAGGATCACGTTTGAGGAATTAATTTGGCCCAATGTAAAGTGAACATTGCTTTGTGAAAGAGAAAAGATTTGACAAGACAGGGGAGCTCTTTTACCTAGTAATTATTAAACGTGGTTGAGGTATACCAAAATCAGAGGGAAGGATACACACACACACACACAAAAAAAAAAATAGTTACAGCTACAGACACTAGTAGAAAGAAACTCACTCTTGTGATCTGGACTCCAAAATTAGAAGGATTTGCTTTCAATACATCAGCTGAAAATGTCACATCACAAAGAAAAAAGAAAGTAAAAATATAACAAGAGTGGAAGAAAGAAAAAAATAAAAGCAAGCATTACTACATAAGCTCTCTCAGTGCATCTGCAAGCTATTAAATGGAATAAGCAGCTGATCCATCAAAGCTAAGAGGCTCAGTTTCAGGGTGTTTTGGGTAGGAGGAAACCACACACATGATCCCACCTGGAATAACAGAGCTACTCTCACCAGGACAAATGAAAGGACTTAGAACTGTTTTGTTTTTTGATGCATGTTAAATGTTGAATAGTAAATTTCTAGAGGAAATAAAACAGGCTAAGCAATGGTATCAGCTTTTCCATGCTGATTTAAACTGCATATCTAATACCCTCTAGGAATTTAAAAGTCACCAACAGCTGGCAAAACAATTTAAAGTAGCATTTGATGCCAAGTTCCTGGATGTTTAATCCACTGGGGGGGAAGGGGGAAGAGACCCAGATATTTACAATGAAAATGAACTACAATTTTCTCTAAGTGGAGGCTGAACTCCCAAACACCCACACCTGAATTCCAAAGGTAGTTTTAAACTTCCTTCTTGGAAACAAAACAGGTTCACTAGTCAGTCAAGGTGCAGTGGCTTAGAATAATCTGGTTTCCTTTGCTACTCCCAGTTTAGCCACAATGAAAAATGCTTTCTTAAACCCTGACCCATCAGCCTTTCCACAGCACTTCTGATATTACTGTGCACTGCAGAATATGTAAAGTGAGTCAATAATTACCCGAGTTGGGCTTTCTCCTGTTGGTTAGTTAAACAGCTGTCACTAAACAGTGTTTTCTAACAATGAACAATGCCCTAAAAACATCTCTCCCAATTTAACGGAAAAAATCTTTCCATAAATTTTAAGTAACAATCTATCACTGCAACTTATTCCAAACTATCAATGTAAGAACTCCTACTGGGCACATCTACACATGCATTAATGCACCTTTGATACTAAGCATTAAGTTTAGTACCTCTAATATGAGATACTGCACAGAAGCAAAGGCACACAGTCTTTTTGCGACACTGTGCAGTAGACTAATTCTATTGCACATCAGCACGGCTTTTGTCATGATGTGCTAATGTCCAGTAGAATTAGTCTACTGTGCATTAAGTGTCTCATGTACACACACCCACTGTCGACTATTCTTATTTGGTGAGAAATCCTACATATTGGGGCAAAGGGACATTCTTACAACACATTCTTAATCACTATGACCTGTAAATAGAACCTTACAAGGATATGTGGCATACTTCCTTTAACACTAACATAACCCTTACATTAACCTCCAAAGTAATTCTGCATCTCTATGAACACCCCCTTTTACCCTTATCAGCAGAAGCATGGATGGATGCAACATTTAAACTCTTCCACCACTACTCTTTGGGACTATAACAAAGGCAAAGTAAAATCAGGAATATTTAGTTTGGTATCGTTGGCTGCATTAATATAACTATGAATAAATAAAAGATTTTTTTTTTCCCCCAAGGAAAAGTAATTTGACAGTGACCACCTCACAAGAAGCCTGGCTGAACTGTTAAAAAGTTGCACATAAGTAGTCTTGCAAGAGAAAATACTATAGGAACAAGATCCAAAAGTCCTTATTTACAGATAGCTCGAGAGCTTAGAATAACTAATGGAGAATTTTGTACAGATGTTAAATGTCCTACTATGAAAAGAACATATTTCATTCCTTTTGCAGTTCAGACCTAAGTTAGGTAGCACATGAAAATGGTAGAATGGATGACCAATCTATGGAATTATAGTACTAATAATCAAATATGCAAGATTAGGATCTCCACAAAGGTAAAGGCCTAAATCAACAGGAATCCATGAAGACAGCATGTCAGCTTGGCTCATTTTAACAAGGTTCTTTGCGTGAATCTGATATCTTTTATTAGATTGATTTAATAAAAGATATCAGATTCACCCAAATAACCTTGTCTAGCTCATTTTAAGACACTCTAGGCATCAGCTGCTACAGAAAGATATTTAAATGTCTGTATTATGCTGAAAAGTTGCATCTAAATTTTCTGTAGAATGAATGTTACCCCAAAAACCAAAGACCATTATTCTATCACTTTATTAACCAAACTGAAGGAATGATTAGATCAACAGGCAAGTTTTACAAAACTACACAGACTGCCCAATCAAGGGACTCAGATCGCTCGGCCTTGAAATTAATCTGCCAAAATTTATACGCTTCACCCAAATAAGCATAAAGCACTTGGACTGTTGAGGAGAGCATACCATACTTAAATGCTTTATCTCACTAGGTTGGTATTGGCATTGTCCATAGTCAATCTCACCTTGGATGTACAGGAACATTTTAGATCTTAACCTGATGCCAATGGAAGTCAGAAGCAAAACTCCCAAATATTTCAATAGGGCAAGATGAGATCCTCACAGAAAAAGTTTCCTAGAGCTATTATAGTAATTACAAAGACTGACGTTTGTTAAAGGATTGTCTTGTGATTTTGTACAGGTACAGGGGTACAGTGGATACAAGAACCTGGCATTCAAAGCAACCTGCAATCCTTATAAATATGTTTACAGATTTCAAACCAGCTAAAACAGGCTGTATGCCTTCAAAGTTAAAATTTATCCTACAAACTAGCCTCTGAAGATCTCCCTGTTCCAGATGTGCAAAGGGGTGGGGGAAAAAAGGAGAATGGAAAA